CGCGCATGGCCCGGGCCCGCCCGGCCTCGACGTCCCTGGGGAGGGTCCTGTAGCGGCTCTGGCCGCTCCGGCTGCGACTCCTCTCCGCCCACCGCAGCCCCAACACTGCGCTTCGGTCCCGACCCGCGCCGCACGGTCTCTCCACTGCTCCTAGCTCGGAGAGAGCGGCCTGACCGCCTCCAGGCGCCCCGGCTCCGGCTCCGGCTCCGCCCGTTGCCCGCCCCCTCGGCCTCGCCGCGCCCCCGGAGCGTGCCCGGGCCCCCGCTGCCTGCACGCCTACCGCTCCCTCGGGCTCGGAGTCCGGCTGCGGCCCGGGCCCCGGCTCCGCCCGGCGCGGCCCGCCCCCCGCGCAGCCCCGCCAGCTCCCCGCCCCGCTGCCTCGGCTCGGGGGCGCGCGGTTCCGCGAACAAAAGGCGGACGCGGCGGGAGCGGCGGGGAGGGACGCAGGCAGGGATCTGCGAGGCAACAGCGACCCCCTCGAGGGTCAGGCGGGCTCGGGCAGCCGCGGCCCGAGCTCCCTCCTCCGCTCCGCCGCCGCCCCCTTCCCTACCAGCCAGCGGAGCGCACCCGGCCGAGGTGTCCCAGCGCCCGGCGTCCCGGCAGGGGCCGCGTGAGCGGCGGGACCGGGGACCCCCGGGCAGAGGCCGGGCGGACCTCGGGACGCAGCAGCCCGCATGCATGCACACCCTGAGCGCCGCGCCCCTCGCCCGGTGCGGAGCGTGCGCGAACTCCGCCCCCTCAACCTTGCAAGGGGGACCAATGATCCCACCGCTCCGAAGAGTAAACTGAAGCCTAGGGGGACACGCAGTTTGCTGGTGGTCAATGGCAAAGCCGGACGGAGCTCACACCCCCAGGGCGTGCTTCGCCTCCTGTGCCTCAGCTTCCCTCCCGCTGGGATAGGGACCGCGAAGCCCTGGGAGCTTGGGGACTCTGCTCACACTGACCGGCTGTGATTCCTCCTCCCCCGCGCCAGTTTCAGGCTCCGAGTGGCTATAATGGAGGTGTCAGACCAGAGATGCTTTGGGTGTAGGTCTTGGCCCGGATGGGCTGGCATGAACTGGGCACAGTTACCCTAACCCACACAAGTTGCCTTAACCCACACACATTGCCTTCAAGAGCATTTTGGGACGAACCGGGAGCCCCAGCTCTGATGGGCGTGGTTTCTTCCCGGGCTGTCCATGGCTTTGCTCTGGCCGGGTCTTTGATTTTCCCGGTGTCTGTCACACCTTCCCCTCCCCTGAGCCTCACTTCTGCTCCCTATCCCCGAGCAACCTCAGGGCAGAGCCAGGTTAAGTCCTTTGGCCGCCCCATAGGCCTCAGGGTGGCCTCTCCCCTTGCCACCAGGTGGACAGGGCTGTGTTTACCCCCTGCGCGCTCCCCCTTCCCTCCTTCCTCTCTTCCTCCTTCTCCCACTTTCCCCTCCTTTTCCATATCTTGCTTTTCTTCCTCCTGCCCATTTTCTCTTTCCTCCCCCCCATCCCCCAGTCTTCTCCCTTCACCTCTTCACTTGCCCTAGACACAGCACTGGGACCAGGTCCACTTCTTTCTCTCCTTTTTCTGTCCCACCTCCCTCACATGCAGTAAATACACCCCCAAGGTGTCCCCTCTCATCTGAGGCCTGCCTGCATCTGATTCAGGTGCGTGGTTCTCACTCTCAGATACTCCTGGCAACCCCCACAGAGACAGGTTAAGAGCAGAGCTACTCAGCAGATTCCTGGCAAACACTTCTTCAGGGACAGTCCCACCCCCCTCCTGGCAAAACACCAGCCCACCCCCAACTCTTCACATATATATATATATATATTTTTTTTTTTTTTTT